ATATATGTCCCCAATCGTTAATTATGGCTAGAAGCTATTAGGAATAACGATTAGCCGTAGAAACACTGGAGAGATATAAAAAAAAAGATAAATAGCAGAATGCATCATTATAGACAACAGTCTATCAAGACCTTTTTTCCATAAAAGATTCAACGCTGTTGTAAGAAGTAGGTCATTTCATTTGAAAGGTTATCCGGGTTAACATAGTCATAGAGGCCCATGGGAAAGGAATTGTGTATACGGGCTATGTAGTCGAAACAGAAATTAGGGTCTTTATATGCTGTACAAAGAGCTTTATTCATGATGAGTGTATGATACCCGTATCAAGATACTACATACGTATATCTAGTAGGTAGGTTTTGTAGTTTTGTTACTTCAATTGGAGCAAACATCATATTGCTTGATGGAAATTTTCTTATAATTTGGAGGTTATCATATGCTGTCCTGTATCATGGTTATTCACTGCATCTGAAAATTAAAGTTTCAATATGCAACTAGAGTTCCACGATACCATACTTTCGCCAAATGATTGGCGACTGACGACTAATAGATGTTTGGCGATGGTTACGCAAATAAGGTCCCCATTTGCATGAATTATATCAGTTAATCATTATATAGTTGAGGGGATTCATTCCTCAAGCTACCGACATCTTGCACACGCAGTCGTCCCTCAGTAAGACATCTGGAGCCGCATAGTTCCCGTTTGACAGGCTGAATAAAAGTTCTAAACGGGAACTATGCGGCTCCAGATGACGGGACGACTGCGTGTGCAAGATGTCGGTAGCTTGAGGAATAAATCCCCTCTAATATATACTATATCAGTTAATCATGTTCGCCATCCAATGTCAATCTTGTCTTTTTGAAACTTCTTTGTATTGAAATTTTCGGCATAAATTTCCTCATAAGTTTCTCATTGATTATGCAAAAAAAAGGTCTTCATATGGATGAATTGATTGTTCAGTTGATCATATATTCTCCACCCAATGTCAGCTATGTTTAAGGATAGTAAGGATTTTGGACACTGAACAAGACTATTTCTGGAGAGGGGTGAAGGAAGCCATATACATCAGGGCCCATCATCCTTCATTGAACCGCGACGGGGGCCGACATCGTCTACCAGATACCTTTGACCCAGTGTTGACGTCACACTTCAAAGAAGCCACGTGACAAGTTTCACTGGGTCAGTCTACTGAGAAAGACGAGAGTGACTGGTCGAAAGCTCTAGGTGAGAGAACTTTTTGTGTTGGACCAAAAGTTTTAACTTTAAATATGTTTAAGGATGTTGACCTTCATGCCGCATGTATGAAATTACAAACAGTTATCACAATGGAATTATATTATTGAATATAAAAATCAATGAGACGAAAGTTCGAAATCAAAGCATTTGCAGTTTGAACATTGTTCACTCCATTGTAATCGAATGTGCACAAGAGAAACGAAAAGCATTCTAGTCTCGATCTCTGATTGTAGATCAAATTTTTATCTCCAACGAGACGTTGCTTCACTCAGTGAAATCCTATTTTGATCTGAAACAAACCAGACGCCAAACGTATTACCGGCTATATGGGGTTTTAAAAATCGAGAAGGCAGACGAAAATGTTATTGTGTGATGTATCGGTATGGGATTTTGGTTGCAGCTTTTGGTATCTTTCCAAGAGCAAGACATGTTTCAAAGAATCACCACTGGAACTGTACTTTTGTTTCCTTTTGGAGTTCCAAAATTTGTCTTCAGTTATTCGCATATCAATCAATAGTTCTCGCTTATAAACCTGCAATTCTGCACAAGTTCTCTAGTGTCACTGACGAAAGGTAGTGGATGCTACCTGAAACGTCTGATCGTTTTCAGAGTCATATCCAGTTGCTTGAGTAACTGTTTTTGGCGTATCTTATACATTACCTGGATGTCTAACCTTCACCGACGTACCACTAGAATTAGTGTTTATATATATATATATATATATATATATATA